GAGAGGGATGTATCCTGAAGATGTCTTGCCTTTCCTTTGCCATGTAGAGGAAAGCTTTGTCTCACCATAATACCTCCTTCTTTACATGGACACAAAAACACACACAAATCATGTCATATATATTTGAGTATGACTCTTTAGCATATGCAGAATGGTTAATGGGATTATAGTAGATGCAGAAAGTTGTGCTAAAACTTCATGAAAGACACGTTCATTAAATTCAAGCTATTTGTAGATAGGCCAAAATGTGGCACTAGTCTCGGCACATAAACGGGTAAGCAGGTCAATTTGAGCACAGAAGATATACAGATGAGTCTCTACGAGCACGAACAGGGTCCTACTTGCACCAAGGACGGGAGTCTGCAAAATTGCCTGCATAGGTACTATAAATTCTAAACACATCCGTTACTGACCTTGCGTATCTTCTCGCAGATATTGCAGCATGAGGCCATTAGGAATAGAGAGGCTGAGACCGCTGAACGAATTTGATTGCTCTGCTGGTTGACCTTCACAACCCTTAGACATACATTACATATTTAGTCTAATGACAGAACATATTTTATGGTTAACCCTGGAGAACCCATGGGGTCGGCTCTGACCCCATGGGTTCTCCAGGGTTAAAAACCTATGTGTACACGTATATCATAGTCTACATGAATCTAGATTATTTTCTGTAAACATGTAAATGTGTGTTAACCTGGGACTCTGGAGGTCTGCTGGATGTGGTTTGTGTCTTTGAGGGAACACACGCTGCATCTTTTTCCTTGGAGCAGTGGATGGAGGCAGATAGATGAATGGGGTCTGGGATAGATGTCTCTGGTACTTTGCCTTTGGTTTCCTGGGAAATTACTATAATAATAATAATAACTTTATTTTAAAAAGTACTTTAATAACATGTAAGGGATTTTCACATCACAAAGAAGACTATAAATCAAACAGAGACAAACGAACTCAACATGGGACATTAAACAGAAACTGCTCACAACAAATGACAACAAAAAATAAAGCTTATGATCAGTGCAGTAAAAAGGAAATATATAATATGTAGTGACTAAATAAATAAATCATTTTTAAAAAGCTAAGTATTAAGAACCAGTCAGAAATACTGATTGGCCTGGATTGTTCCAGTTTCAGGCCATCAGCAAGGCACTAAGCTGTAGCAATTCAAGCCAAGCAACAAAGTGCTTTCTTCTGCTCATCCGATTCAGGCTTGTGAGGAAGCTGGAGCCTATCCCGTTTAAAGTTAAATGGGATTAAAAAATATTAAAGTCAATCTTAAAACTTTAATTGCAACCAGTATAAGGAGGCCTAAACACAAGATACTGTTTTGAAATTTAAAAAAAAGTGTTTTGAACTAATTGCAGGTGTTAAAAATTCTGTCTGTGTTCTTTTCTACAATCCATTTTCCAAAGTCCAGACAGGATGAAATAAATGCACATATACCCTCCTCAATGTCAGAGCAAGTGTGGAAACACTAAAACTTTTGAAATGTGTCCTGAAGGAAGCATTACTGGACAGTGATTTAGACGTGACCCACAGTGAAGATAGACTGACATTTGTGGAAGCTACTGAAAAGCATCTCCATCACCTGATGTATCCTGCCCTCTTTCATTGTCTTTCACTAGGGCGTAGAAATGGATGCCATCTGCATAATCTTAAAAAAGAATACTGAGTTTGCAGATAAAATGCAAATAGAGAAGAAAAAGAAGACGAGCCAAGGATGGATCGATAACTGGGCAAAGGGGTTACTAAAGTGCAGGTCCGACCAAACAAAAACACTACGCTACCCGTACAGTCAAGGCCTTTTAAACTTGATGCTCCAGGCTTAATAAATGTCAGGAACACTGAGTTTATTAACTATTCAGTACTGTATTTAACCCGTTTGCAACTTTAAGTATAAAAAAATACTTTATTTTATAAATATGTACTGTACATCTGAGTGTAATACCTGTGTGCTCTCCCGTGGGACCGTAGAAACTGTATGAAAGACGAATTCTATTGTCAAGCACAGCTGAGAACGAGCCCTGCTTCACTGTTTTTATCTCCACAGGTTCTGCCACTGAAAGACACCGCAAACACACACGCACACTAAATGAGACTATATATCACATATCATTCACAATAACTGTGGTATTTACACAGGTGTATAAAAAGGTAACCTAAAATTACAACAGGTAGCATCTTTACCTCTACAGTCCTTTTCCGGTTCAGTGTTTTTATTGTCTTGGCTATGAGGGGGACATTTTGCAGGATCAACAACAAAGTGGTTGATGTGTGTGTAGAAATGATGTCCATCCTTCTTCACAACGACTTTCATTTGGCTGGAACCTGGAGGAAAAACTATGTGTTACTGAGGAATATTTGACCTTTGCTTTATTTATGTTTTTCATGGATTTATGGTGCTATTTGTCTAATAATGGAACTAAGCTCATAAATACTTCAACATTTTTTTCATTCTTAGAGAAATATAGCTGCGGGAGGGGGAGAAAAACTGTACAAATGGTTTAACTTTTTATGTTATCTTAAGATATAACACATGTTTGTAGTTTTCTATAGTGTCTAAGTAAGCTGTTTGTGAGTTTGTAGTTGAAGGTCTGCTTAGATGCATGAAGAACACAGACAGATCCCGTACCTTGAACAAAGCTGACTGTCTCCACAGTGACACGTCCTCCATCGGAGGGGAAAAGGTACTGGAGACAACCTGACACATGGATCAATTTTCCATCCATGATGTAGCCAATGAAACCCTAAACATTGGACACACACATCAACATGAACGACCATATGCATGGAGTCATTTATTACTTAACCTGAACGAAGCCGTTTCACTTATCAAGACCTTAACCAAAACACGAGTTTAGTTATGTAATGGGTTCTAGCGTGTGCGCTCTCACATTGAAAGGTTCCTCTGCATGCTGTACTTCTACAACTTCAACCACAGGGGGCGCTGTTGTGATAGCTGACTCTGTGGGAGGGTTGGCTGAGCCGCCTTCCGTCCCTGGCCTGCTCTTCTTGTCATCAGATGACGTTTTCTTTTTCTTGTTGTCGGTTGACTTATCCTCCTTTTTCTGCTGCTTATCTTTCGGCATATCCTCTTTCTTTGACTTTTTGGGTATCGCCTCTTCCTTCTGACGCTCCTGCTCCAACTTCCAGGCCTGTAACACCATAATACTGTAACCATGTAACACTTTGGTGACTCGAAAGTAGTTTAATGTGGCTGTGTTCTATCCCGAGATGATGAAAAATCTTATTTTATCTCTAGACGTACTTTACAGATAAAATACTGAAAACTGGAACTATTAGAACTGGACCATGAATTTGAACTCATGAATTTATTACTTAGCTGCTCTGTGAAAAAGCATCTGAGGGATATAAGAAATGAGACTGCTCTATGAAATTCTCCATGTCAGATTCACGTGTGTGTACTTGTGTGTTAGCCTGGACTAACTTTAAGGGAGCCTTTTCTGATGAAGACTTCCATTCTCTCATCTTCCTTGGAAGAACAAACAGTATTTTCATCTAGTCCAGGAAGAAAACAAATATTATATGTATACAGAGGTAAGCAAGGTTACATTGGTAGAGCCACATATTGATCACTATAATACGATACCTTTTGGAGAATCAGATTTTGGAGTGTCGTTTCTGTCTTGCGTTGTGTCTCTCTTTGATTCCTCCTGTCTCGTCCACTGTGAAACAGTATCTGCCACATGCTCAAAGTAACTCCTGTACAGTCAGACAGGACAATGTAGAGTGAGCTGCAGATTACGCTCTTTAATGAATCCAGGAGTACTCAGTTCCAACACATTGCTATGACACAGACATTGTACATCCATGGAAGCAATCAGCAAAAGATTTCTTACTATTCCTCTCGTAACAAGCATCATTTCACACCTGAACTTGACATCGGTGTGAAGAGCCACATGCCAGAACTCCCTGGACTGGCGTTGAGGACTCATGGGATTGTGGCAAAAAATGTATAGGATGTTGTTATGGCTTCCTCTGAAGGTGTCCAAGCAGCGGTATTCCTCTGATGCTAACTGGAGCAACTACACAAAAGAAGGAAGTCAAAATATCCAAGCAAATGCCTCAAACTGTAAAAACACATAAAGAACGGTGCTGTTTTATGCTTTTCTGCAGGATGTACATAATACTGCTGCAGAGTATAGCCTCAACTTATAGTTTAGTTTGCTCATTAAACCCATTTTCAACTCTTGCATTCTCCATTTGAAGCTTCAGAGAAGAGGAGACTTAACGTGTAGTAACCACAGTACATCTAATGTGACACCACTAACACATTTAACAAGATAAAACAGATATATCACCTGAGGCAGGACGGTGGCATTGTGGTGCTCAGCATAGTGCCAGTGAAACAGAGATCTCAACCTACAGCTCTGTATCTCAGATAAGTCCAGGTGGCTACACACTCCACCACTCTGCTCCTGGGGGAAAAATACAGGATCCATTGCTGTTTTCTTTTTCTTTTCTTTTTTTTTTAATTAAAGCAAGCTAAAAAAAAAAATAAATAAAGAGATAAATATAAGAATAATACCTCTCTGTTAGAAGGCTCGTCAGTAAGAAATGTTGGATCTATAGTAAAGTAAAACAGTGATGTAGGGTGTTTCATGAGTGAGTTGTAAAATGTAACATACTGCATGTAAGCAAGTGTCATAACATAACAGTAAGTGAATTAACTAATATAACATCAGACCTTTGTTCCTCATGTTATAAAGCTGCTGTTTAGCAAAGGATAACGGGTCATCCCAGGGGATTACTGTTGATGTCTGCTGCTGTGCTGGATCTGCTATTCCACGTAACACACCCTGCTGATCCACCCCGGACAGCGGCATAGCCTCAAAGACGCTCTGATGAAAAAAACGCTCCACCTCCGGCCATGACACATCATCTGTAGGAAGCCGATGAATCAAGAACTTTATCACAAGATTCACCAACATATACTGTAAGCGGGTACAATGAGTTGACCCGAGGCCGTAAGCACAGAATCTGACCATCTGTGCAGTAGTGCTGTAGCTGTTGTTTGATGGACATCCAACAAGATTTTCTGTTTTTCCGCTGAGTGACTGACTCGATCATCTCCCACACCGGAGACAGTCTCATCATGGACAACTCCACCTCTGTCGGATCGAAATCCTGAACCACCTAAGAGGGTCACGTGCATGTACGCAAATACACAGCAGCTCTTGTTAAACCAGGCAGTCATTTTCTTAATATCATGTAAAAATCACACACGGACAACGTAAAAACTTGATTTTAAAATACAATAAAATTACTTACACTGATGTCTCTCAAGCGCTGGGCCCGCTCATCATGGTGTCTGATAACCAGAGGTTGCTCAGTCTTCCTGTCAGTTTCCCTTGCTCCAAATTTCGCCACTAGCCTCTAGCACAGATAAACAAAGATAATAAAATTGAGAAACATTAATAAATTGTACACTGTGCTCTAAGCGTACCTGAGAACCCAGAACTCATTGTTAAACTGGAGCTTATAAACCTTTTCTGATAGAAGTTAACAACATTATTTGCAGTTAATTTCTGATCAAGTTTTTCACTTAAGCAGGAGATAAAATTTCTCTTTGCTGGTATGAGCAACAGATCCTGGTAAGAATTTGTAAAAAATGTCAAAGATGTCAAATATATTAAATAAGAGTCCTGTTAATCTGACCTAGAGTTGTGATTCTGAGTGAGGGAACACTTATCATAAACATGCAAAGTATTTGGAGTATTTTTAAGGCCTCAGTGAAAATCTCCTAACTAAAGCAATGTAAACTGTGTTTTTGTGCTTTCTGTGTGGTTTGTGTAACAATGCTGGTGCTGTAATGTGAATTTCCTGTATGCAGAAATAAAAAGCCAGCTTAATGCATATGCATATGTTCATAAAGTAGCAGCTTCAAGCTGTTTTCATGATTAGAGTGAATGTTTAAAAGGAGCTTATGGAAGATCTTAGAAGCAAAGTCATATTTAAAGGAATCCTGTCCTACCCTCCAAAATCTTTCTTCCTTTGAGCTCATGGCTGGTTTCTTAGTATTAGTATTTATTAGACATATATACAGAAATATCCTCAATATTTCTGCTAAAGTTACACATTGAATATAGCACCATCTGCTGGTGGTGCACTGGTATGTATTTGTAGCATGGTTACTCAGTGTTGTACGTGTTATTTCAGCATTACGCAGCTCTGATTAATCTCTACAATAAGGACATGTTAAGCATTATTATATTGGAGTATTTCTTGAAGAATCCATATCTGATTCATTTTGATAAATTAGATTTGGAATTGGATTCTTCTCTTAATGCATACATGTGACTGAGTTATGACTTAAATGTGAGTTTGAGTTCATTAAAAATACAAACGTTTTGAATACCAAAACCTTTTGCTCTGTAAAAATGAAAAAATATTTTCATGCATAAACAGCAAGCGATAGATGACATGCTTTTCCTGTCACATGTTCAGGAAACCGAGTGTTTTACCCCACCCATCCCCCATACGTCACAACCAAGCCCATCCTACTTGGGGAATGTTGCCGCAATTGCTCTATTACCATAACACAAGAGCTTGTGGGCATTTGCTATTCAGCTTTAAGTGTCTGACACTAATCATGCCCACAGAAATATGACCTTGTCTTCCGGCGCAAGGTCCTTCTGTTTAAAAGGAGAAGGGGGGAAAAAAAAAAAAAAGCTGCTGCATTGGCCGGGAATCGAACCCGGGCCTCCCGCGTGGCAGGCGAGAATTCTACCACTGAACCACCAATGCTTCACATACTAGGTTGGAGGCTTAGCATTTTTTGTGGTCTCCTCAGCACTTGTTCTTTGGCTTTCTCTAGGCATGTATATTGTTATGCAGTGGTAACTATACCTTCTTATCCTCTTCATTCGGAACTGTGTTTAGGAGGTTGTTTAATACATAGAGTCTCTCCTCTTCTTTTTGTACTAGTGGCAAGAAGTTTTGGAGCATATAGCTGACCAGCTGGTGGTCTAACCAGGGGCTGCTGAGAGGTTTGGAGTCCTCAGCCACATGGGGGTGGGCAGACAAGGACTGCTCTGCAGAAATCACCACCTAGAGACACAAATTGTACAAATTCTAATATGTCCTCAGTCCTCATTTTAGCTATTCATTAATCAGTCACACAACATTTTCCCATCGACCATATTTGGAAATGCTTCTTTCACACACAGTAAGAGATCGAGCAAAACTGCACATTCACAAAACCAAATGCACACATACCTGTTCCAACATACAGTGCAGGATCAAAGGCACAGAGCAGGCCTCAGGAGCAACCAGGTCCAGCAGGTTGTTATAGTAACACATGTCCACATCTAGAGAGAGAGGAAGGAGCCTGTTCTCTGTCCACCAAGAAGAAACCATTAAAATGGGAATGGATTAGGAGGTTTTAATTCAAAATGCCAAACAAGACTATACCAAAATAGTCCAGATGAACAATAACAATAACAAAATTTCACCTTGGTCTCCTGGGGCTTCCTCCTGACCTGACTTCTTCTTGGTGAGTGGGGTTGGAGCTGCTGACACAACCTGGCACAAGGAACAGAAAAATCATCTCCATTCTGACAAATATCAACAAATAAAGAGAAAGAAAAACAATGATGTCAGTGTAGAGGTTCAGGACCAGTGCTGTGGGTCATATCTGGAGTGTTGTTTTTAGATAAAAAGCTGTGTTGTCTGATTATCAGAGGATTCATTTCAGACTAGATCTATCCTCCTCAATATACTCTTGAAAAAAACCCACACATTTACCTACCAGAATATCAACACTTTTATTTTGATAGTGTAATTGACAATCTTTTTTGTTTTTTGTTTCAATAAAGCCAAAAACTGAGGGTTAAGTGCAAGTTAGTGAACACTTGTTTTGTACCTAGTGGGTTAAAACCAGTGCATGAAGCCTAATGGATAGGCTTCTTAAGCCAGGGATAGTGGGTTTGAGTCACATCAGAGGCGTAAGCAGAGTGGCGCAGCGGAAGCGTGCTGGGCCCATAACCCAGAGGTCGATGGATCGAAACCATCCTCTGCTACAAGCCTCTTTTATAAAATAAATCCATTCAAGAAAACTACCGGTGTCCAACTGTATCTACATATATTTACCTCCACAGGCTCTGAGTGCTTCACAACAGCAGGCACACTGATGAATTTAACATTGTTCCGGTATTGCTGATACTGCCTTCTGACGTCTAGGCAGTCATAGATAAGACTGGCCACACCGTCAAAGATTTGGCTTCCCAACTCCAGCTGGACACACAGCAAAGACACACAGACACGGATTTAAAGTAAAAAACAGGTCACGTCATGTGATGCTTAAACAAAACAAAGCAGATATGTAATAAATAATTCAAACTGGATAACAGAAAAACAAAATAATGTGCAATATTCTAATAAACTCAAAAATGAGAATAGATATGTTAAACACTTATCTACTCACCACAGTTTCAGGGTCCTGCGCGTCAAAGGGAAGCAAGAAGTCAGGAACAGTGTAGCTGAGCTGAACCACATCATGGAGCCTGGAGTCTGGTGGCCCGCTGTCCAAAACTGATCTCAGACCTGACCAGAATTCATTCAACTTCCTTTCCTGCACAGCTTTTGATACACGCAGAAAAAATGATGATGCAGTGTAAACATACATGTCTTATACTTCTCTTATAACATACAATAAATCTACTATTTACTGAAGATAGCAAACAGAAGATTTACTGTTTACTCCTTACCTGCATCAAAAACCGGCGAAGCTCTGAGACTCTGTTCATTTCCCTCACAGCTGTCTTGGTGATCCTGCTGCTCCTCCATATTTTGGGAGAACTCCGAACACAATTTGATGACATTAGACACATGAACACCTATGGCATCAAGTCCCGCTATCAGTTGCGGCTGGTAGAACCCCAGGATTAGAATATAGTGCTGAGGACCCCACTCTGGCTCATCGTCTATGACCAAGAGACAAAATCAGTGCGCACAAGATTTTAAAGCACGAAACAACCTGAACAATTATATTAATTTTTTACCACTTTAGCTTTTCATCAGCTTTTACCTTTGAAAGTAGATGGCTCAACGTCACCCCTGCGCTTCAGCTTGGTCTTCTTGGGTGGTATCACCGGTGTATGAGGACCCTTTCCCTTTTTACCAGAGACTGCTGTCTTTTCCTCCTCAGCCTTAAACATAAAACAGTTTTAAAAATATGACTCTGAGGAACATCTCAAATATGATATCAGAATTATATCACTGGTGGTACAAAAGCTGTCTTGAATGAAACAATACTTGACCATTAAGTATAGGCCATGTACCCATGACATGTGAAACACAAACGAAGAATGTAATATCACAGGGGGGTATGATGAATACAAAAATACAAAGAATTTGGAGTTACAATAAATCTTTTTTAAAAACAACTAGATGTTAGTAGTGTTAGTAAGATAACACTGAAAGTGAAATTTCACGCTCTGTCAACACCTTAATTAATTATAAAGGAATAAGAATCACTTAAATAACAAGTCATTTACCTGGATAGCATCTGACCTCGGCTGATCACAGGCTTTGATAAGTAGCAGCTGGAACTTCAGTATTTTTGCCATCAGGTCACAGGGAATCCCCTCTCCTGCATCGAGCAGCAGTTTAGCTGGCTCTGTAACCTACACAAAACACAGACACTTATAAATACACACACAACAATGACTGTTACACTGAAACACGTCACATAAAAAAACATTATTATTTGGCATGGTGCACAAAGTCACTGCTGTAAAAATTTCCAAAGCATACCTGATAGAACATGGGGACATCGTCTGGTTTTTTTGCTTTGGGATTCCCCAGCTCACGGATCTGCAAAGAGGAAGGATTTTACTTTACAGTATATACCATGAATGGTACATTATTAAGCTATAAGCTATTAAGCAATATTAAACACAGCTCTGGAAGGTCCATCCCAGTTTTAAGCGCAACAGTCAAGTCCACTCTGTATAGGTACCCAGTCAAATACGAGGACTACCACATGCTCACCTAAAAGGGATGCCCTTTGAAATGTGGGAGAAACCTTGAGCACCCAGAAAGAAAGCCAGGTAGGTTCAAACACCCACCCAAAGGGCTCATCCTGCTGATGGATTCGAACCACGACCTTCTTGCTGGTAGGCGTTAGTATCATGACGCATTCACTAACACCGCCATGCAACATTTGAGACAAAGTAGGCTCATTTTTAAGTGTAAATGATGTAAAGCAAGTCTAGTAGAGTCAACAATAAAATATAAAATGTGTTATATCAACACCACAGGTCCCTTTAATATAAAGGAAGTATCAAAGTTGGAGTACCTTTGCAAGCGTGTCGTCCCAAGTTAGCAAGGTGAAAAGTTTGCGCTGCGGTTCCTGTACAGCCAAGGCCAACGCCTGGATCAGTTCCTCCTCCTGCGGACCTCTCCCAACCACAAAAGACACACATGCCTGCCACGAATCCTGGGAAGGGCAATACGTTTTACGATATACCACTGCAATACACCCCAGGCACGCTACATTATTTCATATCATATTTATACATATTTGCTTTGCAGTATATGACAGCTCGCTTTAGGCTCAGTGATGGTGCAATTTATGCTAAGACAAATGAAAAAAAAATTACGTCAAAGAAAAAAAAAGAAGAAGAAAAAGCTTTTAAGAAGCATAACAACGTTTACTAATAACATTTAGGGATGTCGAAATTATAACTTCCGGTCTGAAAAATCGAAGCTGCCTGATCTGGCTAATCGCACGCGCGCACCCATTAACCTGCCCTTAGACTCGGCTAACGCCTTATGAGAAAACTGCGAGATTCACTCAGTGTGAAAACGATATAAATATTTCCAACAAACTATTTAAGTTCAGCCAAAAAAAAAAAAAAAGTGGTCAGTGAGACGACAAACCTCTTCAAACTCTGCTTTGATGAGACCAGTCTCCCAGTTCTTGTTTACTGCGCCTCCATCAGTAGTGGACTTTTTAGCAGAGCCCTTTTTAGCTCCCTTTGGTGGCATTTCCGCTTAGTGGTAATTCAACAACACAGAGCAGTGAAAACAGTAATGCAATTTTCGACTTAGAGATCAACTTTAGATTACTAACTGTGAGTTGTCATCTGGTGCTCATGTTGCCCATGGTAACCACAAGGGCACGAGCGTCAAGTAATGTTTTCAGAGTGGGACTTCCTGTAGACTTTCAGAACAAAAGCTTGACGGAACGCGCCTCCCTGTTTACAAATTCGCTGTTTCGTCGTGTTCGACTTTAGTAGTAAAAAGGTACGAAAACAAGAATTAGAATATAATCAAATCTGCTTCGTTTTTAAAGACATAACCTTTTAGTCTAATGTTGCTGTCGTTTCCTGTCTCCACTAGATGGCCGTATTATACTTTGTCTACAGCTGCGCTTTCACAGCAGAGTCACAACCCCTCCTGAATCAAAACTTTACAAACCAAATCCAGGTCGTTGCTTACAGTTTCAGTGATTGTTATATCTATAGTAGTACACAGTAATCAGTTCTTAAGTTCAAAGCATTTGGCTTCGTAAATCTAACAAAAAAAAAAGAGCTCCCATTTACCAGTTGAATAGATTCAAACCTGAGCAATATTGTCACTGTGCCCAGACAGTGAACACTGAAAACAGCTGATTAATTTCTGTGATAGAAACA